TGTGAGAGTGGTTTAAATAAGGGGTGGTAAAAGGAGAGTTGGTGGAAACCAGTCCTAGAAAATCGTGGAATAGTCTCTGGGGCTGCCCCTGACCTCTGCCCTGCCCCTCCAAGGTGGACAGCAGTGACCCCCATGAGCTCCAACCGCAGTGCTGCCGGAGTCACCGTCTTCGAGGGCCGGATCTACGTGTCGGGAGGGCACGACGGGCTGCAGATCTTCAACAGTGTAAGGCTGGGATCCTGGGAACTCCTCAGCTTCAGGTTGGAAAAGCTCTCTGGGACCATCCAGTCCAACCATTCCCCGGCACTGCCAAGGCCACCCCTGACCCATGTCCCCAATGCCACATCCTCAGGGCTTTGAAATCCCTCCAGGGATGGGGACTCCACCACTGTGCCAGGGCTGGACAGCCCTTTCCAGGAGGAATTTTCCCAGTATCCAACCTGACCCTCCCCTGGCACAGCTGGAGGCCGTTCCCTCTCCTCCTGTCCCTTGTTCCCTGGGAGAAGGGACTGATTCCACCCTTCTCCCCCCTCCTGTCAGGGAGTTGCAGAGCCACAAGGTCCCCCCTGAGCCTCCTTTTCTCCAGGCTGAGCCCCCCCAGCTCCCTCAGCCCCTCCTGCTGCTCCAGCCCCTTCCCTGCACACACTCCAACCCCTCAGCGTCTTGTCACAAGACGCCCAAAACTCCCGGAGGATCGGCGGCTGTGCCTCAGCAGCGCGGGGGGACATTCCCTGAGCATTTCCCTGACTCTCCACACCCTCCCTGTGCCCGCAGGTGGAGTACTACAACCCGCACACCTCGTCCTGGCACGCCGTGTCCAACATGCTCAACAAGCGGTGCCGCCACGGCGCGGCCGCGCTCGGCAGCCGCATGTTCGTGTGCGGCGGCTACGACGGCTCGGCCTTCCTGAGCGCGGCCGAGGTCTACAGCTCCGGGGCCGACCAGTGGTACCTGCTGGTGCCCATGAACAGCCGGCGCAGCCGCGTGTCCCTCGTGCCCAACTGCGGCCGCCTCTACGCCGTGGGCGGCTACGACGGACAGTCCAACCTCAGCTCCGTGGAGATGTACGACCCCGAGAGCAACCGCTGGACGTTCATGGCGCCCATGGTGTGCCACGAGGGCGGGGTGGGCGTGGGCTGCGTCCCCCTCCTCACCATCTGAGCCTCCGGAAGGTTCTTTCTCCCGGGGGGACTTTGGGAGGGCGGGGATGTTGGTCTTCGGCGGGATTTCCGGGCGCGGAAAGACTCTATGGAACGATGCCCACGGGGAGGTTTTTTTGGGGTGAAGGTCCTGGAAGATCAAATGTGGTGAGTTTACGTGTGGGGAAGGACCCCTCGGCCCCTCCCGGAGCAGTGGCCAAGCGGATCCGTCTCTCACTGTCCATTTCCCTTTGGGAAGCACTGCCATGGGCTGGGGGAGAGGGGGACAGGCTTAATTCTGACATAAGAACAGCCACTTTATTGACTTTGGAAAATCCATCTGCACCTTCTGGGAGCACCAAACCCACCTGAACCCCCCGAGGGGCGTCGTGGTCACACAAGGGGGTCTCAGAACAGAACAAACCCAGCGCTGTCGGTTCCAGGTGCTTCTTACACAAGACCCTCCCAGCTCCTCGTGCTTTCCTCAGCTCGATGTGGAAAACTTCTCCACAGGAGCCACAGGATGGGGAAACCAGGAAGAGGAACAGGTCGGTTAAACCAGCTGATCGTTTTGGAGAGGGATGGATGTGAACGACTCCAACAGCCTGAGG